GATTCCAAGGGGGATTTTAGTTTCCAAATCATTGTATCATATGCAGTGAGATGGGGAAGTGCCAACCATGTGTTTTTTACTGCCTTGTGGGCAAGACCACTCTAGGTTTTTTCATTGTGTAGGGTTGAGCTAATTACTTGAATTCTTGTACGTATATGGTAAGCTTCGTTGTCTTACTATTAGCATTTTTTATTAGCACGTACAACCCAACTTTACCAATATTTAAATACTTGATCTTGAATATTTGTCATCATTATACATGCATTGGTGCCATTAATATAGCTTTCCATTACCTTTTTTCCAAAGTCGAGGCAAACAACATTCAGTGCTAACCATCTAGGTGTGCTCAGCTCAATCTAAAATATCTTCAAAAAAAGGTTTGAACAAAGTCCATACTCCATAGTGCTTTGCCAATGCAAGGTGCAGAGTTTCCATCTGTACTGAGAAGAATTAGTTGTAAATGGTTACCAAAGATGCAGAGCAAGTTAACCCTCTTTTAGTGCTGTTAGTTATACATGCCCCCTCTCTGTGGTACATGAAAATATCTTTATGGCCGTGTAAAACCAAAAGGAAAAAAAAAAAAACCACGAAAGAAAAATAAACAAAGACGGATCTTAAGAAATTCTACTATCTTCTCAAGAAGTGTAGAACCCTAGTTCTCTCCTGTTAGTTCCTGAAGAATAGAGTTTCTCATCTCATTGCTTTCAGTATACCCCACCTTGTCTCTCTCAGTGTGTAAATAAACCCATAGAATACAAGACATCTATTCAGCATATTGTGTCTACAATGTAATTCAGAATTTTTTGGGGCCACTGGTGTTTAGTAAACTTACTCTATTTCATTTCTAGTTTTATTATTTCATTGTGCTATCATCTATCTGTAGATTTTTGCTAAAACTTGACTGTTGCACTAATTAAAAAATCTTTAACCATCTTTTGTCTAAATTGCAGTTATATGTAAAGCATTGTTTGTTATTCAGCATGTGTAATGTGAACTGTTCCATGTACACAAAAGAACATGCACAGTATTCCACAAAAAACAAAGAATAAATGTTGCCCTGGAAGATCCATACCCGAATAATTCACTCCTAGCCTCTCTCCTGGCAAGACTGTTCAATCAAGTTAACCAACCTTACTGTACAGTCATTCTAGAACCATAACACATATATACAATGACAGTCTATTGATCACCCTCTACATTATCAAAATCCGAGGAGAGTGTGTCAGCTTAAGAATCTAAAGCATAAGCAAAAACTCAGCTCTCAGAGCCCGTTGAGCAAATCAGACCATGGAAAATATAAATATTTTCGATCTTTACTTGTCTTCACACCTTTATGTATTGGTGCTTATGAATTATTATCAACCATGCAGAGCTTGGATAGTCTCATCAAGTTGGTTAAAAGCAAGCTTCAAGGAAGGCAGATTTGTGGGTGTGTCAAATCACCTGTACATCTTAGTATTTAATACTTGGTAAAGCACTCTAATGATCCTTCATTAACCACTCTTCTCATTTTACAGATGAATTACCATTCATTCTAAAAGATGAAGAATATGAATTGAGATACAGAATGGAATTGAAGGATGCTGTTCATAAGGGAAAAACAAGTCGCCAATCTTTGCTTAAAGGATACGACATCTATCTTGCTAAACATGTTCAGCCTCCTGTTGATGTCCTTTCAATCATTATTGAGACTGCTGGTGGAAATGTAAGTTTATAATGTTGCACTAAACTATGAATGTTTGGATCCACTGGTTTTTAAGAGTGCCTATTCTCAATTGGTGATGCATATTTGTTCAATCTGAATAAAATTCACATGAGCAAAATGATTAACATATCATACATGTTATCACATAGAATGTTTATATTTTACTTGATGCATCTTTACAAACTTGCATATATCTATTCTTTAAATTTTGAACAAAATTAAAAAAAAGGTGGAACAATCATCAAATGCAAAGAATGTAGTGAGAATTACTTATGGCTAAAAGATATATTTTATCTGAAGGTTCTGAAAGGAAACCAGAACAGCAGGTAGACAAATTATTTCAGATGGTAATAGAAAATTGCCTCAGATCTTTCTTTCCAGGCATTTGACATGGAGGTGGTGGCTTTATGATATGCAGCTTTACCTTCTACAGCTTGCATATTGACTGATTTTTGGATATAATCCTCTCCCTTGACATGTGAACCTTAGCCAACAATATAAGAAATTGGCATTTCTGCAAGATGGAGTTGTAATTGTTCATGTAGGTTAGAGTGCTAAATTGTCGACTTTGAAGTTTTTGAGAAAACTAATGTTGGTTAGCCCTGTTGAAAGCATTTCAGATATTTCAATTAATGATAGCAATTTGAAACATTATCATTTCATTTAGATTTTTTGGGTAAAGTTATTTCATTTTGATTTCAAACAGGAATAATTTCACAATTTAAAACCTTGTTTTTTCATCAATCTTCCATTATTGACAACTTTATCCTTTGAATATGTGAATGTGTGTTTGTGTTGTTTAACATTGCTCACACCTTAAAAGACCTACACTCTGGTGTTTTTAGCATGAAGTGGCTTCTTGCAGAATTGAGTCTGCATTTTCATGTTTGCCAGCCTAAGATTTTATCATGTCAAGCAATGACACCTTTATGCTAAGAATGTCAATATTTGGGTTCATATCTGGTCCACCCCTCCCAAGACCCTATAGCTGTGACCAACATTGGGTAATATCCCATTTACCAAATAATGGCTCCTTGTTAGTTAAAAGATCCATTTTTTTAAATGTTTGAATTTGTTTAATTTAGGATTCAATCTCTCGTATTTAATATAGTTAGGACCATTGATGGAATTTATGACTAAGGTTGAGCATTCGTTTTATTTGGTTTTCCCAATTACAAGTTAGGCTTCCAAAATTCAAAAACTGAAATAACTGAACTGAAACCAAAATTTTTGGTTTTAACCAAATAATCCTCACCCCTATTTGTGACTTCAATTACCTTGTATGAATTGATGAGAATTCATTGTTTGTGCTTCCACATAAGAAAGACGAGAGCAAACATGGTTGCGCAGTGTTGCAAATATTGATTTTCATTTAAGTTTGCATTGACAGTGGCTTTAGGTTAATTGTATACACGGTAGCACTATAGCATTGTTTGGTGTTATTACTTTGAATTTTACAGGTTCTTTGTGGATTGGATAAAGTTAACGAGCCATCAAGAACAATCTTTGTTGCAAGTGAAGAAGACATGGATGAGGTACTTTTGGCTTCAAAGAGAGGGATATGGATTTTCAATAGCGACTGGTTTATGAATTGTGTCATGACACAGGAGCTTGATTTGGAGGCAGCTCAGTTTGCAGAACCTCTCTAGTGCACTCCAAGCTTCTCAAACATGTAGATATGTCTATTCATGATTCTTGTGAATGGGAGCAAAGTTTCTATATATGCTATATATTTTAATGCCGCATTTTGGTCCAAAATTGTCAAACAAGGGTATCTGGTTTGTTACCATATTTACAGCATAGAGGAAGTCGGCAAATGTTGATTTTGCTATTGGCTGATTGTCCAACATGATTGCTTGACTAAGAACCCGAACGAGGTGGTATCAATATCTTATGCAAAGTCCTCCCCAACCCTACCCTCCCTTTTTTTTTTGGTAATATACCCTCCCCTTATTTGAGGGTGGGGTGGGTTGGATTCAAAGCCTACATATTCACATCAAATTCTAAAAAAAACACATAGGAAACATCTCTCAATGAATGACGGGCAGATGTTTCCAATGTACGGCTGCAGTGGCTATTGGGACTGGCGAGAGTGTTTTGTTGATTCGAGTGCAGCTGCTGGTTGGATAAATTTGCTTACTTTCAGTAGTTGATTCGAGTATTCGACTATTTGAGCAAAAATATAGAGAATAGACTGGGACCACTATACCAATATTAATTAATGGGGTGGGGGGATCAAGATTAGGCTGCTTTATCATTTCTTCATGCGGAAATTACGGTACAGCAAAGAAACAAAGGGATGTTATACCAATATTAATTAATGGGGTGGGGGGATCAAGATTAGGCTGCTTTATCATTTCTTCATGCGGAAATTACGGTACAGCAAAGAAACAAAGGGATGTTATTGGGGGCTTTTTTTTTTTTTTTAATATCGTGCTGCAAGAAATTTAGAGTAAACGGTATAAACAGAAGGAATATACAAGGTTTAAGCCTTATAACATGGTTCAGTGTTTTGTGCGTACGGCCATGGCAAACTCCTATGAAATTCACTATTCTCAATCCAATGAATGCATCCATAGCAAATGGCGTTGTTCAAAGGTTTCCTGATTTGGAGCCCCTTTTCCACCCTGAACACTGACAGCTTTTAGCTCTTTTTGTTTGTAACTTGTCCCTTCTCTTCTAATACAAGATACTTGTTCTATCATTCAATCTATAAAAGGAGGGGCATGTTGGTCTCATGATTTTCGTTATATAAATACTAGAGAGAGAGATTTCTTAATAAGTTAATATCAAGTGAAGGTTAGAGCTTGCTTTTCTTTTTCAATGTCAAAATGGAAGCCCACCTGACAAATATACCTGTCTCGTTTTGCCATTTATACCTTCTTAACATAGATCCCTTGATTAAGGTGATGTCTGGCACTGATGTCGATTTTTGAGAAAAAAGTGCCACATAGGTGTTGCATCAGAGAAAGTGGTGTTTCAAACAGCGCTCTCTTGTTTGGTACTGTATTTTCAGAAAAAAATATTGCTCCAAACCGTCTTAGAAATTGGGAAAGTGTAGTCTGGAGCAACGTCAAATTCAATGTTTTATGAGTAAACGACATGTTATCAGCAGTGCAATGATGTGACTTCAATGTAGCATCATCTTAGACATTGGATAATATAGATTAATGTTGAAAATATTGCTACCAGCACTAGTACTAAATAAAACCAATATTGTTTTCTCAGAAAACGCCTATATAGCAGCACACTTCCAAATAAAAAATCTTTCAACCTCATGCCCAGTATTGTTTTTATCAGAAAATGATGCGATATTCCCAGCACCAATGCCAAACACCTACTAAATCAAAACACATTGAGATTAGTATAAAAAATACCCAGAATTTAGGCAAACAATCTGAAATTAGAACATATTCCCATCCCCAAGATCCCAACAACATAACTAATACTCTTTTAGTTCTTCATGTGAATGTTCTAATTGTTTATAAAACCTAAGACTGGACATGGCATAAAGCCATAAACCTGTCAATTCGTTCTTCTTGTTTGTCATATTTGTTATATTTATCACATACCCATAATTTGACCTAGTATGGCTGCTTCTTCTAAATTCTTCTTTGCCCACTTGAAATATAACCAAAGTCTAGCATTATTTAGATTCCATATAATTGAGTTCTGTTCCCAGTTAATTAAGCAATGAACCATGTTCTAGTTTTTGTAGCTTTCTTCCTATACCAAACAACCTCGCCTAACCCACCAACAAAACAATGGAACAAACAAAAATAATGAATTTTCTGTCAGCTTTTCCTTGTAATATTCTAAAAGTGCTCACCACTAATTAAATGTCTCAATTGAATGATGATGTCTTTCCCTTTTGTTTGTATATGGTAGTTTATATAGCCTCTCTACCAAAATTTTATTCAGTTATTACTATACTGATGTTTAGTTCCATTTGAAACCCCTACCTTTGACTATACTCTCTGGTTGCTTTTTCTTCTCACCCATTTCTTTGGAAAGTTGTCCTTCTACAGAGGGCATGTCCAAGTACTAATCAGAGATGGGTTAGCCAAGTATACCAATGGGTCCAACCATATGATCCAATGATCAGCTCTTCTCTACCTGGATCTCGGGTTTGATAGTTTGTCCTGGACCAGCTTGTTTAATGGTTCAAATGGACAAATTGATCCAGGTTTGTAGCAATAGATAAAAGAAAGAAGCTTCTACTACTCTCTACCTTATATTACATGTGTTACTATTACCGTATGTACAAGTATGACTGCCAGTGACCGACACCTTCTACGTAAAACTTAGAAAAGCATATTCAAATAATCAAATATTAAAATATAGTTGAGCTAATTGATTCAATAATTAGGGCTGGTGGTCTTACAGACCAAACTTCAAACATAACCTAAAAGCTTTAGAAGTAAAATTACTGAAACACCCATCATGTCGAAAGATATCTTGCTTGACCAAAAAATAAAAAGAAGTAAATATGGTGATTCTAAGGTGTGTCAGCGATATAACGGGTCCCCCAATCCATTGTTTTAGATTCTAAGTCAAGAGCTAAATTAACATTCGAAAAGGGTTTTTCATTTACGAATTGGGCCCTACAGATGGGACCCATATTTAATGAATCAAAACTATGATATCTCAGCTCAACTCTGGCAACAATATTTGTTGGATCGGGTACATGAACCCTGCTCTGCTATTCCAGCCTATCATGGGCCGTATTCATTGAATAAGAACTATGAGATGAGATGTGCTGCAATAAAAGGTCTGAATCTATTCCTCTATCAAAATCAAATGGCTCTTCCATTCCTTTCTCACCGTACCCTTTTTAATCCCTGAGAAACGTCTATCCACAATTATTTTTTCAAATTGGTGAAATCCGACTGGGTCCAAGTTTCAGTCTGAACTTAGTTACCAAAAAAAAATGTTTCAATCTGAACTCTGAACGGTCGGACAACTTGCCCCAACCTGGCAGACAAATGGGTAGATGTCCAGGCAAAACAGTGACAGATATTCCATTTTAATGTTCATTGATCATGTTGATCCTTGCACTTAGAGTGGATTATATGTGGGATCCACTAAATTGTTTGTCCCATGCAGTCCCCAAAGATCCTGAGGGCTATTTGGTCAAACAACAACAAAGAAAAATGTGTATACTATACCCAGTTACCCACAGATGCTGACAGACTTCTCTTTAACAGCCCCTAAAGTATGTGGTCCTTTAAATGACTTTGGAACTTAGTTTTATTCAAAGTAGCCGTTGCACCTCCCCCCTATTAAAATATATACAAAACCATCTCCACAAGCATTCTGTGTTAGGAGGCTCCCCCTTTTTATTTATATTCCCCACCAACGGCTTTCCCTCTCTCTCTCTCTCTCTCTCTCTCTCTCTCTCTCTCTCTCTCTGTTCCTGTACTCTTGGTCCTAAGCTCTCTATAAACCCACTACAGATTGAGTGATTTATTACACTATCATCTCATATTCTCTCAATCCATAAACCAGGAGATGGTCTCTTCAACAGATTCTCCTGTTTCAGAAGCAACACTTTCTACCCCATTACTCTCAGCAACCGCAAGCAGCAGTAGCAGCAGTGATTCCGATGATAGTCCCCACACTTCATATAGATTCGCGTCAGAAGATCTTAAATTTCGATTTCGAGGCATACCCATCTGCGGGTCTTATCGATCCTTGGCCGTCTTATCCGGGCACATAGGATCAGTCTCTTGCTTGGCGATCTGTGGTGAGTTCATCCTAAGTGCCTCACAAGGTAAGGACATAATAGTGTGGCAACAGCCCGACCTCAGGCAGTTCGCTAAGTTCGGGCAGGGTGATGGCTCTGTCAAGGCCCTTGTGACTGTAGGCAACAAAGTATTCACAGCGCACCAAGATAGCAGGATTAGAGTTTGGAAGGTGTCGAGGAGCTCGGAGAACATTTTCAGGCTTGTTGCTACATTGCCCACGACCAAGGACTACTTGGGCAAATTCATGAAGCAGAGCAATTATGTCCAAACACGGCGGAACCACCGGCGTCTATGGATTGAGCATGCTGATAGCATTTCTTGTCTGGCAATCTACAATGGCATCATCTATTCAGGATCCTGGGACAAGACGTTGAAGGTTTGGAGGGTCTCCGACCTCAAGTGCTTGGAGTCCATTAAAGCCCACGACGATGCGATTAATGGGTTGGTTGCGCACAGGGGACTGGTGTACTCGGCATCTGCGGATGGAAAGATTAAGGTTTGGTGCAAAGGTACACAGAACTCACATTGTCTGAAGGGAGTGTTGGAAGGTCACAGGGATGTGTCATTGAATTCAGTGGTGGTTTGTGAGGATGGGAGGATGGTATATGGAGGTGGATCAGATGGGTGTGTGATGGGGTGGGAGGGAGACGAGGATGTTAGCAGTTGGGAATTGGTTTGTGAATTAAAAGCACATAAAATGGCTGTGTTGTGTATGTGCTCCATGGGGGAGTTTTTGTGCACTGGCTCAGCTGATAAGAGCATAGGTATATGGAAGAGAGAGGCTGGTGGTGGGCTTACTAGTGTTGGAGTCCTAAGGGGCCATGAAGGACCAGTGAAGTGCCTACAGGCCTCACCTAATAGTATTGGTGGTGGGTTCTTGCTGTACAGTGGGGGACTTGATAAGAATTTGAGGGTTTGGTGGGTTCCCAAAGAGAAATGGGAAAAGAAAGGGGATTGTTCTCCTATACAAGTACAAATACAAAATACATCTTGAGTAGTTGAGTTGAGTTGTTTTGTTTATTTTTTCCTTTTCTATTTCTTTTTGGTTTTCTTGCAGCTTTCTTTGAAGCTAGGAAGGATGGGGGGCATTGTTCTTTTTTTGTGTTTGCAGTGCTTCCCAGAATGATCTTGCAGTTGGATTTTCTTTCTTTACAAAGGAGTTTGTGAGGTACTGAGGTTACAAGGGTTTGGGTGTAAATGAATAAGAAAGTATACAAGCCTTAGAGGTACTTCAATTGGTTTTTGGGATTTGGTGTTTTTTTTTTTTTGGATAGTCCCTAGTCCTTGGGCTGATGGGCTTTGGCTATAAGAATTGGGAAAAAGAGATGGCAGGGCTTTGGCTATAAGAATTGGGAAAAAGAGATGGCAGAAGATATGCCAGTAACAACACAATGGTTAGGGTGGGTGGGGGTTGGGGTTTGGGGGGTATTTGTGAATTGTGATTAATATGTATTCCATTTTTATTTGTTGAAAAAATGTATTAGAGTTTGAAGGATTTCATTCAACGGAAAAATAATAAGAAATTTTCTAGTCATTTTTCACAAATATGTTGTTCTCCCAGGAAACAATATGCTTTTGCTCAAAGTTTTTGAATGAAGATTCCAAAATATACCTTGCCTCCTAAGCAAATCTTCTAACTACTTGGGTGAAGAATTATTCTAGGCCAACATTTTGGGTGTTGGACAATTCAGGTTAATAGGCCAAGAAGCTTGTAATAATGATTTAAATGGATCTTTTTACTGCCAATAAAGCATACATAAAAGTAGTTTTAAATAATAGCGGCAACCTTAGTCCCTGTAAATCAGTCTGATTATCGCTTGAAAATCAAACCATATAGGATACTAAAGATGGTTTGAGATACAGAAACGGTTAAATATCAGATGGTTAAACTCATTCATTGCTCAAATCTCGGGCAGAGTACAAAGCATTTAACGTGAAGTCAGGAGGGTTAGACAATGTAGTTAAACGAGGGAGTGTGAAATGCAATAACGTGTGCAACCCATTGCATGATCTAATAACATACAAAAATGAGCAATGGAGGATGTTATGAAATAAGACTTTGAAATCAGCAATAACGTTAAAGATACGCCACGGAGGACATGATGAAGATTTAGGGAGCTAATCAATTTGAGGGCCTCCAGTAGAGCCAAAACTTCAATTTTACAATAAGAGCACTGCAAGGTGGGTGGGAGGAGGATTCTGGGAAGAAGATTTACGAACTCCTAAATATGGAAATTGTAGTTTAAAGGAGAGGACTAAATTCTCACTACAGGCGTAAGAATTAAGACAATGTAAACGGAAAACCATTTGTTTATATATGACTGGCACTGGCAGTAATTCTCTTGCACTCTAAAGAACGACAAGGAAAAGTGGAGACCAAACACCTCTTGGACTGGACCACCGACCACCCAAAGGGCTTCAGCAGGAAAAAGAAGATAGGTTTATCCCACATCCACATGAAAGCAAGTGGCCGTGCCGGGAACAGACGCAAGAGATGTTATCAATCGACCCACAACCCAATTCAGAAATCGTTTGCTGAGATTTCACAAAGGACCACTTAAAAAAGTGCAAGAACCATCCATTTTGAGACCTTCAGGAAAGAGAGATTTTTAAGTCTTTTTTATATCAAAAAAAGAGCTTACTCTTACAATAAATGCATTTCCAAAGAAAAAGGGATTGAAGCGTGGTGCTGTCAATTCGCCATATCTTTGTTGCCAGCGCCTTGACTAGATTAAAGGACGGGCTTTGAGCCCATGTGGAAGACAGGTATGGTAGAGGATGCTTCAATAAAAAGTAATAAATAATAATAATAAACCATACTCACGCCACCCTGGAAAAAAAGAGCAAAGGAAAGAAAACTCTGGGTCCAAATTTTGATCTATCCAGCATGCTCATCCGTATCATATTCACATCACAGAGTCGAATAAGGAAATTGGGGTTGAATCCAGAAACATGTTAATGGCGACTAAAACTTTCCCTAAATATCATCATAAATGATAACATTGCAATAGTTTCTCAAAGGATAAGATCAAAAGACAACTCTAATTTTCAATAAGTGGAGAGTTCTAGCATGCCAATTACAGGGCTACAAATCAAAATTCAGATAAAACGTTTGGCTTGCATGTCTATTTATAAAATTTAGATGTATTTGTAATTTTTTTTGCTCCCCAAGTCCTATACCTTCTTTAACTCTTACATGCACACAGACTGCAATCATAAGTTATCACTCGTAAAATTAACCGGGGAAAGGGTTTCCTACAGTTTATTCAAACTTGAAGAAACCAACTAATTTCAAATTTGAAATGTCATAAAGCTACGGCTTTGGGGATGTGAGCTGCCTCAGATTGTATTTAGATAACTCCTTGTACTTTTCAACGACCCCAATCAAACACATTGTCTGAAAAATATGAAACAGAATATGGCAGTCAGAATTCTCAAGGACATTAGTTAAATGATCTATCAAAAAAAGGGCATTAATTAAATGGAGTTCAGCAAAAAGAAATAATAATGAAAGAAAGCAATCAGCAAATGCACTAATGTCAGAATTAGACAAAGCATTCTCTATTTCTTTTTCTAGGTACAAATGACTAAGACCACTTTTAACAAGGCAAAGCATATTGATCAAATGCTATATAGACTCCCATCCCAAGTGCTATAGTGATTATTATCCATAAGCAATAGAAATGAAGCACACAGGAAATGGGTATATAGCCATTTGGATGAATGTAACAAAAAGTAGGGGTGCAACCGTGCAAGTTGGGGAGACTTTTAAGAATTTAAATTGCATCTGGCCTGGGGCCTGGGGCCTGGGCCCATTCAAATTTCAGCAAATGGTCTCTTAAGATTTTTTTTTTTTTTTATTTCTGGTTGCTTTGTTTTGTCTAAGAATTAGTTTACCAAGGCAACCACAAGCATTCGGCCCTATAAATTCCTTCCTCAACCAGAAAAGCTAAAAATCCGTACATCAAATATAAGTATAAATTTGGGCTAGGAACAACCCAGTTGTCAAACAAGCATATCAACTTTAATGCATGCACCAAAATCCAACGAAATCCCAAAGGATCAAGCCAGGATGTCCTATAGACAGCAACATCACCCATGTTTATAAATATCAGCCCGAGGGGTAACCACCACTGTTTGGGTTGCACCCAAGATTATGGATCATCATGTCACATTAATGCATATTTTCTTTGTCCCATTAAGCAATCATGTCAAAAACGCTAAAAGCTAATTTTTATACCTAGTTTAGGTGGTCCTGTAAATAGATTAAAACAGGCAATGTTATTACATACCTCATCCAGATCTCAAACTCTATTGAGCTGAGGGTATCTGAAATTAGGATTCCCAGGCTAATTTATTTAGATGAATAACTTGGATCTCAAAATTAAAGGGCATGTAGTATCTAGGCTTTTGATAAACAGGACCAGCATATAGGATTGCATCACATACCACAGGTCCTAATGGCCAGCCAAGAGCAACATCTGGATGGGTTTCCCATGAGAACTTTCTTGCACCAAAGGATCATCCTTGATGAATAATCCTTAACCTTTGATCTATGCATTATTTCAGGAGGTMTTTACCTTCTCTCATTCTCTGAACCCTCCCCCCCCCCCTTCCATAATTTAATTATGCAGTTAAAAGACATAGCAGCAATCATATCTCAAGCTGATTTTTGGTCCATTTGGTACCTTAGAAGATACCCATTCAAAGTAGAATTCTCTTAAAAATTAACACAGTTACAAGGGCCTCGGGCAGTTCTACAGATCCCATAACCACAGACAGATTATTTCCAAGACTAATGCTCAATTCAAGATGATATATTACAGGTAAAGATTTCCAACATTCTATAATGCATAACATTTCACCACATTGTTGTCTGAAAGATACAATTTCAGCATTGCATCCAAAAAATCCAGAGGCCAAAATGTAATGCAAAAACAGCAGGAAGCAGGAGAGGTTAACCAGCAGGGAAACAGTACAAAATTAGCTAAAATCCAAGCTCAATGAAATGAAAAACTAAAGGGACTCACTTTTTCCCCTAGAACCAGACAGGGGAAGCTCCCTACTTGATGATTTGAACCCCTCAAGTACCAGAGATTGAAAAGTAATCAAAGGATAACCACCATAATCTATGTATTAGAGCTATATTGAGTCCCTAGATTATAGAGGTCTAGATATGGTATGCACAATTCTCCCATAATAACAAGATAACTTATTATTCTCATATCATCCCAGTAGAAAGGTCCACCCATCTGGCATTATGATCAAAATTATAATAAGCATTAAAGAAGGCATCAAATAACTGGAAGGTGTATCTTCCATACCTTAACTAAAGTTGCCACTGATGGATAAGGCCAAACATAACTAAAGTAATAAAACTAGATTGATGGAACTAATTCAACACTTTAACCACAATATTCTATTCAAATGCCAGCACAAAATTTCTATAAAGGAACAGTTGTATAATGGAGAAGATGAATTTGTAAATATCCAAGGCCAAACACACCATAAGAAGTTTAGTTACCTTCACTATTTGAATTATAATGGTCTTATCTGGGTTACTAAGATCCACTTTGTGGGGTCCAGGAACAGATTTTGCAACTGAATTTATAATTGCCATCCTTTCAATGCCACTATTTGCACGTGCTTCATATAATACTGAAAACTGACAATAAAGGTAAAATAGTTAAAATAAAATAAAATAAAGATCATTATGTTAGAGGAAGGCCTAAAGCTACCAGTCATGCATTAACAACAACAGAAAATTAGTGTTTTAACTATACTTTCTGTGGCATCTGAGCATCTGCTGGGAAGTATCGGGAAATAAGAGGTTTGATTGCTTTTGAGATTTCCTCTTCTGAAGCATAGCATGTAACTTCAACTGGCAATACTCGCAAGATGAACCTGCATATGTTACAAGATATATTTTCAGTTCAGCAAATAGGCACCAAAATACAAATATTTTGTGCAATGCAGACAAAATAAAGAATGTATCTTTGATCCTTCAGATAAATTTAACTTGAAAGAGATGAAACATAGGATATACCTACCTTGAAACATGTTTCCTAGTGGAAGCAGTTGATGTCATCATGTGCTGAACAATCTCTTTGGGGCTAGGGTCCCCATCTCTCTTATGCATTTGGACAAAGACAACTCCATTACAACCTGAATCAAGACTGACAAAACGCCTCTGTTTCACAGATAAGTCAGTCTCAGCACAAGAGTAAACCACTCCTTGTGTATGCACTAGAGTCTAGAAGGGAAAAAACAGTCCAAGGCCCACAATAGAAAAGAGGGCTAAAAATTAAAATACATAGAAAAGTCTCCATAAAAAGAAGCTGAATAATACTTGCAAATAAAAAAGGAAAGGTAATCCAATTCATCACAATATTTTAATCATTAACAGGGACATCTTTATTAACATAAATAAGGAACAAGAACAGTTGGTAAAAGGAGCAGGCAATGCAGCACTGGGGAAAAAGGAAAACAACCCACATTTGCTACGACAGTGTCGTAGCCCTGCACTGAAACAAGTAAATCAAAGCCTTTGATTTGCTGTCATGGCCCGACCTTGAATTAGATGAAGTGATTGGTGGGGCCACTGCAGTAGATCCAAGGCCATGATTTTCTGTGTTAGCCCTGCGCTACGACAGTGTCGTAGCAGAAGTGAACTCAAAGGAAAATACATGGATGAAGAAAATTATAAGGGAAGTCCTCAAAAGGGATTAATCTCCCTCTTTATTCTATGAATTGTTTTTTTTTTTTTTGATCAGTTAAAATGTTGTTAACAAGATTTTATTCTATGAATTGTTAGTCAATGTAAATGTAGATGACATGCTTCATAATTTTTTCATATGATGACAAAGCCCATGACTCTCTCTTCTTGCCTGGTTGCCCCTGGTTCAAAAGGATTAATCTCCCTCTTTATTCTATGAATTGTTAGCCAATGTAAATGTGGATGACATGCTTCATACTTTTTTCAGGAGATGACAGAGCCTACACGACTCTTTCTCCTTGCCTGGTTGTCCCTGGTTCAATGTTAGTAGCCTTTTGTAGAGGAGATGGGCCGAATGGCCCATAGACTGTCATTTCATGTTATGTTATGTTTCTCTTTGTTATGGGCCTTATTCTGGGCCCATACTCTGTAATGTTCTGTTTTTTGTATTTTTTCTGCCCACTCAAGGGCCTCTCTGTAATTTATCAAAGATTAACACCTTAATAA